CTCTCTGCGATTTTAATTTGTATTTCCTTAGCGGTTAACGGTGCTGTACACCTTCCGTGTGCTTTCCATCTGTGTGTCTTCTTCAGTGACCTTCCTGTGCGTATCTTTTGCCCATTTTCTAATAGGATTTTTTTTTAATGTTGAGTTTTGAGAGTCCTCGGGTCTTTTTTTTTTTCTGTGTATGGTGTTCTGCATCGAATGTAATCCTATGTGCTCTTTTGGGGATCGTTCTGATAGCTCATTCCAAAAGTAGGGTAGGGTAGCTTGGCTATAGGATTCTTGTGTCTCTCTTGTTTTAAAGTTTTGTTCAGTTCAGTGGGGATAGTCATAATTAGCACACCTTTGTGGAGATAATTTTTCTTACATGGGAGTCCTCACGTATATTAGTTTCTGTGTTCCTGTAACATTTGTTTTATATGTGGGTGAATCTAGGAGTGGGGCTGTGATATGGCCAAGCCTGGGTCAGCTGATTTCCAGGCTTCTTTGTAGTCACTAAGTCAAATTACTTTTTTTAGACTAAGACTTTATTTAGTTAGGAACTCAGCATTCACACTTGTGACCATTCACTTCCTAGCAACACATTTTTTTTTAGCACTTGTTGTGTACCTGAGCTGTGCTAGGCTGAGGCGACATTGGAGACCAGGGTGGTCACAGCTTGTGATTCTGGGAGCTCACTCTCTGGTGGAAGATACAGCCATGTACCCGGTAATTGTAGTGTGAAGGTGATAAGTGCAGTGTGAAAGGGGCCAAAGGAAGGAGGATGCTTTAGAAGAAAGTATGGCACCTGCTAAGGCTCAGGAACCAAAGGATGCTAGAAGCGCTCAGGGGTTGGGAGCAGTGGCATGGGGATTGGTGGGGGTGGGGGGGAGGTGGAGCGAGAGCTGACCCCGATCCAGGGCACATTCTCTAAAGAGAGGAGTATGCATTTTTTTTTTTTTTAAAGATTTTATTTATTTATTTGAGAGAGAGAGAATGAGAGACAGAGAGCACGAGAGGGAAGAGGGCAGAGGGGGAAGCAGACCCCCCGCTGAGCAGGGAGCCCGATGTGGGACTTGATCCCGGGACTCCAGGACCATGACCTGAGCCGAAGGCAGTCGCTTAACCAACTGAGCCACCCAGGCGCCCGAGGAGTATGCATTTTCTGCCGAGGGCCATGAGTGGGCCATGAACTGGAAGAAGGGGAGAGGACAGATTACTAGTAGAGATGGTTGGATGCCTCTTATCATAATCTAGGTAAGAGGTGAAGGCAGCTGAGCTAGCATGTGAGGTGGACAGTGGGTGGGTTCAGCAGTGGTCTGGGAGGCAGAATGAATGGGATTTGGAGATTGGTTGCACATGAGGGGTGAAGAAGCTGAATGAGTCAAGAACTCTGTTCAGTTTTGGGTTGGGCGACAGGAGAGTGGTGGTGCCCTTGAAGGAAACCTAGGGGGTTTGAAGCAAGGTGCAGGAGGGCTCGTTGTGTCAGACTGTTGACATGTGTCTGCTTGCCCAGTTAGAGTGTAAGCTTCAGGAGGGTCGGGTTTTTGTACCCCTAGCACCTAAAGCATGGCTTCCTGCAGATGTGTGTGCGCACATGCATGCAGCTACCACCCAGCGTGAGGAGGTCGGCGTATCTGCGCAGTAGTTCTGTAGACTGTTGCACTGTGGGCTCAGCATTTATGATCAGGAGATGTGAGATGACCTGTAGTTTTGCTGAGGTGCAGCTTGGAAGTGTACCTGCTATGAGGGCAGGTGTATGAGCCGGTGAGTGATCTTAGTTGAGTGCTGGGCTTTCACATTACAAGTTGGTTTTATTGTTTGCCATTTATTGTCAAATACGTACGGTAGTAATTAGCATTAATACACTTGTGCCAGGGGGTGGGGGGATTTTGGTGGTACAGTGCTTCTCCACTCACCTGGAGAGCATTGTCAGACCTGCCCTGCCTTCCGTGTCTGTTCTCCCACACGTGTCGACAATGTGGTGCTGTCATGTAGTGACTGCCAGCCTTCTCAAGCACAGGGGTTTCTGGGTGATACCTATTTTTTTTTTTTTTGAGATTTTATTTATTTATTTGTCAGAGGGAGAAGCAGGTAGAGGGAGAAGCAGACTCCCCGCTGAGCAAGGAGCCCAGTGAGGGACTCGATCCCAGGACCCTGGGGTCCTGACCTGAGCTGAAGGCAGACACTTAACCAGTTGAGTCACCCAGGTGTCCCTATTTGTGACTAATTTTTAATCTTCACCGCAACCCTGACATTATCCACATTTTTTTTAAGATTTTATTTATTTATCTGGGGGGGCGATGACAAGCCAGAGGAGAGGCAGAGAGAGAGGGAGAAGCAGACTCCCTATTGAGCAGGGAGCCCGATGCAGGGCTCGATCCAGGACCCCAGGATCATGACCTGAGCCAAAGGCGACGCTTAACCGACCAAGCCACCCAGGCATCCCCATTATTCCCCTTTTATAGACAGGGGTACTGGAGCCAAAGAGCAGAGTGACTGGTCAAAGGTCAGTGACAGAGTCAAGCCCTCCTCCATTTGTTGAAATTTTTGAAACACAAATTCAAAGGATTTGATTGAAACTGAACAGATGGCATGAGATTGAGTAGAGTCTGTTGAGTTTTCTGAACCTATAAGCTCCTAGATAGAATGTTTATTCGCCTAACTGGAAGCATGTATGTCTCTGGTCTCTGCTTGGTAGGTTCTGATCGGAACAGACTCCATCACAAACCTACATAAACTGGAGCAGGTGTCCAGCGATGAGGGCATTGGGACCCTGGCAGAGAACCTGCTGGAGGCATTGCGGGAGCACCCTGATGTAAACAAGAAGATCGATGCTGCCCGTAGGGAGACCCGTGCTGAGAAGAAGCGCATGGCCATGGCAATGAGGCAGAAGGCTCTGGGCACCCTGGGCATGACGGTAAAGCCACTGTCCGGGAGTCTCCACGTTCTTGTCTATGCTGTTGAGGAGGAGATAGCTGTGCTTCGGGTCAGAGCTGGGCTGGGGATGGTGGGGGTGAAGGCTGGCGAGGAGGAGGAGGGAACTAGGTGTGCCAGGCACTGTGCCAGGCGCTTTACCTTCTGTGATCTTCCTGACAACCCTCAGAGCTGTGACTATGGTCCCGCTACGCAGATGGGACTCAGAGGCTAAATGACTTAACAGATTCACGGAAACAGTAAAAGTAGGCATGATAATGATAACACTTGCTCGTGGAGGATTTACTATTTGCCAGGCACTATGCTTAGGCACCTTGCTCGTAAGATTTTATTTAAGCCCTCATGTGATTCTGTGAGGGTGATATTACTATACTCATTTTCTGGTTGAAGTAATAGAGGCTGAGAAGCAAAGGAAATAGGCCAAGGTGCATGATTAGTAAGAGGTGGACAAGAGTTTGAACCCATGTCTGTTGGACGTGATAGTCTGCTCTTATTGCCGCACGTTGGAAGAAGCCATAGTCCTACGAGTGTCTTCTCCAGAGCACAGGCTTGGGTGTCAGCAGTTTAGAACTCCCACGCGAACCGTAAAGTGAATCCTAATGCAATAGCCCTTGGCAGCTGAGACTGGGGAGTGTGCTGGCACAAAGAAAGGGGGCTTTTCTGATGGTGCATTGCAGCCTGCAGGAAGAGAAAGCAGAAGAATCTGGGTCTTTACCCTCATTGGAAGCCACCTAAAGAGGTTTCCTTTCCATGCATCCTCCGTCTAGTGTCTGTGGACGGGCAGCCCTGTTCCCCAGCATCCCCACGCTAGGGTGGGGGGTGGGTGGAACTCACCTTCTGACATACCACTTGGGTTTCCCCTGCAGACAAATGAGAAGGGCCAGGTCGTGACCAAGACAGCGCTCTTGAAGCAGATGGAGGAGCTGATTGAGGAGCCGGGCCTCACGTGCTGCATCTGCAGGGAGGGGTACAAGTTCCAGGTAGAGTGCTTGGCCTGGGCCTGACGCGCAGCCTGGCCGCTTGCGCCAGTGGTGGCCTTCTGCAGGCCTTCTCCTTCTTGGATGGGCTGGTGTCGAGGGGTGTGTCAGGGCCAGCTGTCCTCTCTAAAGGGAGGGGAAGGCAGACTGCTCTGAACGTTAGTTTTCACCACCACCACCCCCATCACCATCACCACTACCACCATCCTTGACACCACCACTCACTGGATTCCTTCTGTATACTAGTCCCAGTGCCCAGAGCTTTCTCTAATTTTGTTTCTAAAGCTACAGAACCCCAAATTATGGATGGGAAAACAAGGGTCATGTGGCAGAGCCAGAATTCTAGCCCAGGCTTCTTTGACTCCAGACCTGGGGCTTTTAAAAATACACCGTGCTGCTGTTAACCAGGATACCTGGGGGAAGATCAGGACCTCTACCAAACTAGATTTATGACTGAAAGGAGCAGAGCAGCGAGTGACCCATTTGATCCCCTGAAGGCCTACAAGGCGTCCTCTTCCCTTCCAGCTTGAATGCCGTGCTTAGCGTCCACACTGCTGAAGGGCCACAAGCCTCGTGAGTCCTACTAAGGCACCGGCTCCTGGGAGCAGCCTGATAAGTGTTGTAAAGCAAGTGACTTACCCGGAAGGCACTTTCTTCTTCCTTTTCAGATAAATAAAGCAGCAAAAAAAGGGTGACAGTGTAGGCTTCCATTTCTGTTTTCCTGTCTGCACAGCATCTGCTTTATTTTGGTTGCTCCCCACGTTCCTCATCTCCCTGGGGCTGTGCCCAGCCAAGTGCTTAACCAAGAGACCGAGGTGCTGATCCACCACCCCCTCTCTGAGTGCATTCCTTCCCGGGAGGGGAGGCCCGCCGGTCCCCTCTCCTCTGCTTCGCCTCTTCCCAAAGCCTGCCTTGAGGTTCACCTCACCTCCTCCTTTTCTGGTGTCTTTGCAGCCCACAAAAGTCCTGGGCATTTATACCTTCACCAAGCGGGTAGCCTTGGAAGAGATGGAGAACAAGCCCCGGAAACAGCAGGGCTACAGCACCGTGTCCCACTTCAACATCGTGCACTATGATTGTCACCTGGCTGCTGTCAGGTAGGCCTGGGCTCCTCCGTAGGCTGCTTCCTCAGGTGCTTCCGTCCGGGCCTGTGTCGCTTCAGAGGGGGGGGCAGCTTGCCCAGGACCCTGTACTGGGAGGGGGTAGATGCCGACTGAGGGTTTCGTCTCAGGGGAGTAGGGTGTCTTGCCTTAAACCCAAGAGCCACTTGTGCCATATGACTAGGAAAATCCACTTGGCTTTTGGCCTAAGGCTGGAGAAAGCAGCCTTGCTTCCCTGAAGCAGCGAAGCTGGCATTTACCATACTGTAATAGAGAGGGCTAATTCTCTCTCGAGTCAGGTGCATGGGCTAACGTCTTTCCTTAGTATTAGCAAACCCTTCTCCACCCCCACTCGTCTAGGTGCCCGGTTGCCAAATCAGTTCCAACGGTCACTTGTCCCTGCTCTCGTCCCAATCCAGGCTGGCTCGTGGCCGGGAAGAGTGGGAAAGTGCTGCCCTTCAGAACGCCAACACTAAGTGCAATGGGCTCCTTCCAGTCTGGGGGCCCCACGTCCCTGAATCAGCTTTTGCCACCTGCTTGGCAAGGTGAGTGTTGAGCGGTGTGCAGGGCAGAAAAGGGGGTTGCGAGGAGAAGGGGGGGATATCAGTGATCAGCTCAGTCTGGAGGCCTGTCACTGTCCTTGGGAACCCTGGTCTCTGCGTGCTGTCAAGGAAGCTGCGTCTGGAAGAGGGAGGAATTCGGCTGCGAGAAACCAGCACCCTGAGTGTCTGGTGCATCATGTGGAACTTCTGGTTATTCGCTCCCTCTTCTCCCTTGTTGATCTCAGAGCATAAGACACAGGACCCTGACTGTGTCCTCAAAGTCAACATTTCCCAGATTTCTCTTCTGCAGTGTGTGCCTCTGAGGTTTAAATAACACAAATAGCTCAGTGGCATGGGGAATATCAGGCTCCTTTCAAGCATCCCTCGTCCTCAAATCCAGAGTAGAGTTGATGAGGTCCCCACTCTTGCCGGTGCTTTGGGCAGTGGTTCCCCACCCCGTGTCCTATTAGAAGGCTCAGGGTTGGGACACCTGGGTGGCTCAGTCGGTTAAGCGTCTGCCTTTGGCTCAGGTTATGATCCCAGGGTCCTGGGATCGAGTCCTACATCAGGCTCCCTGCTCAGCAGGGAGCCTGCTTCTCCCTCTGCCTGCTGCTCCCCCTGCTTGTGCGCTTCTCCCTCCCTCTTTCTTTCTGACAGATAAATAAAATCTTCAAAAAAAAAGGCGGCTCAGGGATGGAAAGGTACCTGGCAGTAATGATGATGGACAATGTATTGAGATGCTTACATGTGCTGTTACTACACACATTCTCTAGATGAAGAAGTTGAGGCACAGAGAGGTCGAGTAAATTACCTGAGGTCGCACAGTCAGGCAGAGCCCAGACTGATGGTGGCATATATTGATGTAGAAAAATACCTTTCATTTGGCGGTTGAAAAGATTCTTACGGATCACCATGTCAGAATGAATACCTTCCACATTTCTTCTTCCAAGATGTACTTCCAGATTTGGCCACGATACGTTCTGTGACATTTGTCCATCAGGAAGTGGGCCCCCTAAAACTGGCAAGTTCACCTCAGAGCTTGGAGAGCATCTCGTTCCATCCCAGCAGAAATGGAAATGTTCCCTGTTCCCATCTTCATGCAGGCGCCCATGGCCGTCCTCAGCTCGGCCCTTCACTCCTCTGTCTGCCTATGGGGCCTTTTCCACCATCGGGCCATGCCAGCCGAGGGGGCTCTGCCTTCCAAGCCGGGCTGTCCCCAGGGAACTTGCTTTGCTCACGGCCTTTGTTCTCCTGCTCCCCAGGCACAACACTTACCTCCAGGAATGTACGGGCCAGCGGGAGCCCACGTACCAGCTCAACATCCACGACATCAAGCTGCTCTTCCTGCGCTTCGCCATGGAGCAGTCATTCAGCGCTGACACTGGCGGGGGCGGTCGGGAGAGCAACATCCACCTGATCCCGTACATCATTCACACTGTGCTTTACGTCCTGAACACGTCAGTATCTCAGCCCCGCTGGGCAGCGTCCGGCCGCCCCCCTGTGCCCCTCTGCCCAACGTGGTCTCAGTTTTCTCATGTCTGCCTGCGTTTGTTCGGGAACATAGGGCTGACCTAAGGTAGCCTTTGCTGAAGCACGCATGTTCATCTGTGGCTTTTTGGAGTCCCACAGAATAAGGTGATAAAGGTGACTTCCTTTCCAGAACAGTTCCATCCCCCGCCGTGGGCAGCCGACGGCTGTGTCCTTGGACTCACTGTCAGCCCAGAGGGGAGCAGGAAGTGGTCGAGGCCAGACCACCAAAGGACCTCCTTAGCTTCCACTGCCACATAGCCTCCACTCCTCGTGGGACTTGGTGCTCTTGGATGGGGGAGGCCGTGGGTCAGAGCTGCACACAGTCACTGTCAAGCGCACAAGGTGTTAACGGGAGAGGGTTTCACAACCAGGGACTGCGGCAGAACCAGGGACCCTTCTCATAAATGGAGGACTGGACTTGCCATCCCTGTTTCCTTTCTAGTGAACAGTGCTTCTGGCAAGTTGAGGGGCAGGGAGTGTTGAAGATTATCTGAGAAAGTCAGCTGATAGCCAGGAGGAGAGAGGGCTTGTATTTTTATTTTAACTGTCCCGCATGGAGTAGTCAGTCTGATAACAAAAAGTGTAATTTTAGAGAAGCACTTAGGGTAGAGAATAGTATTCATTCATTTCGGCCCAGATTTATAAAAGCAAATTAGGAGATTTAATATACTTAAGCTCTTAGTTTGCACAGTTTTGTGCTTTAGGCCCTGTTTTCCCACAAGAGTCTGACACTTGCGTTGGGCAGGGAACCGGCCGGCTGTTGAAAGGCCGTGTGCAGTCCTCCCGAGGCCGCTGCAGGCAGTTGAGGCAGGAGGACAATCTGTCTCTTGTCCTTTCTGGTCTGCTGTCTTCAACAGTGTTGTTTTCCCCTTCCCTCCCATTTCCCGGGGAGATAGAAGGCTGACCTCCAGACCGCAGCCCTCATTGTTAAAAACGTGCACGGGCAGGTCTCTGTCAGTGTGTGACATCATCTGCTAAGCCGTGGAGACCGTCAGAAGAAACCCGCACATCATTGACAGCACCAATGTTCCCACTGTCCAGACCGCTGCAGCCCTGAGCGGTGCTAATTACCAGTGTTTGTGGGCCTCTGACAGAGCGCTTGGCTTTGTGGAGACCTGTCTCTTGGCAGCTGTGAGGCGGAGCGGTTTGTTCCACTCCAGGGGAAACGCAGCCGCGCAGAGGCAGCAGAAGGGAGCCAGCGACTCCGGGTGGCCCTGGATTTCCCAGGTGCCCGGTACTAGTAACTCCTGCTCGAGTCCTTGGTCAGGGTGGGAGTCCGCTGTGCCGTGGCTCTCGGTCAGTGAGAAGCTGACCTGGAAGCTTCATGGGGAGGCACTGTTGCCCAGCCACCGGCCGCGCCCTTACTTAGCTGGTCGCTCCACTGTGGTGTGAGTGTGGTCACAGCAGGGCCTGGGTGGCACATTTGGTCCACGGGCAGGTAGGTCGCCCTGAAGTGGAGCAGAGTTGGGCATGTGCTGCAGTGGTAGAGCACTTCTGACTCCCCGTTCTGGAAAGTCAAGTTGGGAAGGTCCCATCTGTGTCATCCGTGTCTGTTCTTCAGGAGCGGAAGGAAGCAGGGTGTCCTCACACCATCCCCTCCCACGGTCCGCTGTCTGCCAGTGCTGTCTACAGGCCTGGGGACTCCATCCCCGTGGCTACTGGGGTCCTGTTCTCTTCTCCTCCCACAGGATGAGGATAGGGCATCAATTGCCCTTGTTGTGAGAGCACTATTCAGGCTATAGGGTCAGGAGTATGTGATCAGGAAGGTCTCCAGTGGCCACTTGCTGAAGCTGGTGGCCGGGGTTTGGGGGGCGGGGGGCGTTCATGGGGACTGAGAATGAGGAGGCCCAGCTCAGCATCCAGGCTGCTGGGGTTCGAAGCCCAGTTCTTCTACTCCCCAGTACGTGACTTTGGGCAAATTCGTCTTCTCTGTTGTTTCCCCTTCTGTGGAATCGGGGTAGTACCTCTGTCCTAGGGCCGTTGTCAGGGTTAGGTGAGATGATCCATTTCATGCTCCCAGAGTGGTGCCTGGTAGTGAGGCTCATGATCACGTCCTCACGCTTCAGGCAAGAGGGAGAACAGGGAGCCGTGCTTGCCCAGAAGTAGCTGTTGTAATGGAGGAGGGGACGCAGACACATAGGGAAACACAGAAACGGAGCGCCCAGAGAGGGGACCGCTGTGGACGTAGCACAGACAACCTAGCTGTGAGGACTGCGTGGGCCAAGCGAGAACACGGGCTGGCTCACAGAGTCAGAATCTGGGCTCACTTGGGCTCCCTCACTTACGGACCTGCTGGCTTTGGGAAGGTCACTGCACTTCTCTAGGCGTCAGCTATCATGGTAAAAAGGTGCCAGCTGTCACCTTCCAGAGTCGTTAGGACACTCTGATGGTGGAGTATTTGTGAGTGTGCCCGCCATATGCAGGCGGCTCAAGAGCCAGCAAGTTGTCAGAGCTGAATGGGGGGTGGGGTGGGGGCAAGGAAAATGCCACCAAGAAGGGCTTAGAAGGGAAGCTGCAGCCCTCGGGGAGGGGGTGGAAGGGGTAGTCAAGAGTGGGTGGCCGTGCTCCATGATCTAAGCATTCCAGAAGCTTAAAAGAAGATGAGAAATTGACCAGATCTCCTTCTCTCTTGCTGCTGGTGCCTTCTACCCTGGTTTCATCATGACCCTTTTGTTCCAGAACCCGAGCAACTTCCCGAGAAGAGAAGAACCTCCAGGGCTTTCTGGAGCAGCCCAAGGAGAAGTGGGTGGAGAGTGCCTTTGAAGTGGATGGGCCCCACTATTTCACAGTCCTGGCCCTCCACATCCTGCCCCCCGAGAAGTGGAGAGCCACACGTGTGGAAATCCTGCGGAGGCTGCTGGTGACCTCTCAGGCCCGGGCAGTGGCTCCAGGGGGGGCCACCAGGTCAGTCTCTGCCTCGGGGTACCGTCTTCCAGGCTGCCTGGTGTCTGCTTTGTGTATTCCCCATGTGTGCTAAGGGAGGGCCTGCTCGCTCAACTCAGTCCCTTCTGCCCTTTCTCATCTCAAGTCTGCCCTGCTGAGAGGCTGGGCCCAGCGGCTGGCAGGTGCCTGGCTACCTCTGGGTCTCGTGTTAAGCCACTGGAAAGGTGGAGCCAGGCTTCAGTGTGTGGAAGATTTCAGAGAAGCAGCCAGCCAGGCACAGGGCAAGACTACTGATGAGAAGAATTAGGGCCAGGAGGGAGCTAGGGCAGGTAACTGGCTTTTCCCAGTCCTGCTGGGCTGGCCATTAACTGGGAAGGCTTCCGCATGGCTGCACTGGGGATTTTCTTTTCTGATCACGAAAAGCTCATTATCTCTCTCCTTGCTCACATTCCTATCCCGTCTGCCCCATGTTCCATGAGCCTTTCTTCTGTTCATGTGGACATGTCCCAAAGAAGGAACGACATTTCAGGAAGGAAGTGTCTTTGTTTTCATGACCTTGTGCTGTGATTTGGGTCAGATGGGCGGCATCTTGAGAGAAACAACTATAAACAACAAGAAGCCCTTTGAGATGACTGCGGATTTCCACACATTGCATGGACTCCATGGGCATGACTCTAGGCTTGTGGTGGCCCTGCGCAGTCTCTGCGTGTCCTGGGCTCCAGAGTAGGCTGTAGGTTTTTCAGCTTGCTTCTGCCGCTTCCCTGGAGTGGAAGATCTGTGCTCGTCTGTCTGCCTTTGCTCGGATCTGAGGGAACATTTCCACATTTGCAGGCCAACAAGGGAGCGGAGGAGGAGGTTACCAGCCCCTGACAATGACAGACCCAAGGGGGCACAGACCAGGGGGGAAGAGCCTTCTGCCTGGATTGGCACACCTGGTACTTTCGTGTCCACCAGCTCTGATTTAGCCCTCCTTGCTGGTCCCAGGCACCTCCAACCCTCAGAGAGACCAGGTCAGGGCTCTGCTGTTGAGTCCAACCAGTACCAGCTGCTTTGTGTCGAGGAGGAGGGGGCGAGTCTTGTCAGCTTCCTGCCTCACCCCTGCCCCAATTCCAGACCTATTCCCTTCCAGTGTTTCCCAGAGTTCAAAGCATTCATGCTGAACTAGCTGCTAGAAATCAAAAGTTAGATCTGGAAGATACCAGGTTGTTGATAAGGCAGGCTCAGCCCGTCTCCGTGGCACAGAAAGTGGCTGTTTGCGGGGCGCTGGCTCTCAGTGGCAGGTGTGAAATCTGAAGGCACGGGAGCTCTTCTGCTTTCAGCAGGGAGACCAGAACGTGGCACAGTCCCAGGTGGTTCAGGAGAAGCCCGTGGGGCCACAGCTTGATGCAGGAACACCGTGTGGGCTTCGCTCCCAGCTGCTGTTTTCTCTGTGGCGGTTTAGTCACCTCTGCTAATTAGCCTGAAATAATTAAGTTGGGCAGGTCACTCACGATTCCTGCTTACCACAGCACAGCGGCCACCAAACCTGGTGTGGGGTGGAGGCCCGAGCGGGGAAGGGGCCGGGTGTGAGCCCCGTATTTGGGACACCCTCCAAGGAGAGACTGTGCTGGAGGGATGCTCAGAGGGTGTCATCCTGGAGGTTGGGTGGTGTCCCTGGCAGGAGACTTTGTCCCGAGTCCATGATGGGGTGGGAGGCAGTAGCCGATACAAAATCTAGGGATTTGCACAAGAGAATCTGACCTTCTGCATCTCTTAACTGAAGAAGGGTTTCTCTGCCAGGAACTTGCCAGTAGTTAGGCCTGGGACTTTCTAGGCTTCCATCAGAGCCTTATCTGGTGTCTTGTGTGCCTCCCTTACCCCCAGGCCTACCTAAGGCTGCAGAGTCTCCACGCAGGGCCGGGGAGAGAGTGGGTGCTTTGGAGGACACTGGGGTGCAGGGAGGGAATAGGAAGAGTATTGTAGCAAACAGAATTGTCTCACTTCGTTATTGTTTTACTTTACTTTTGTTCAATGAATTTATATTTATTGGATGTAGGGGTAGATGGCCCATCCTCTGCTCAGCAGTCCCTTTGCTTGAGGCCCGTACAGGATAGTCTTGGCTTCTGTGGTAAATAACCTCTCTGCCTGTCTCACTTTGCTGATTCTTACATATATACACTTTAATACTAAATTTTAGTCCCTTTAGTTACGGGCTTTGTTCCAGCGTGTGGTAAGATACAGGATTTCCACGACAAGGTTTCATCTAGCGTTTACTTACTGCAGATGTGAGGGCAGTGTGCAAATAAAACCTCCTGTAGATTTTGGGTGGTAGAAGCCGAATCTTAGGACGGATCTTTCACTGCCGGTGCAGAGGGGGGTCTGGGCTGTCTATTTCACAGTGGCTTTACCACCGTGATTTAGGGTCATCGCTCCTCACGTGAGGCCAGCAGTGTCTGCCAAGAGGGGACGGTGTCACAGGCTGCCCCCAGCATTCTGAGGGCCTGCTGGCCTCTCATCCTGCACTGAATTACTGGGTTAAGTGGAGATGGTCCTGGACAGAGGCAGAGGGGTGTGGTGGCAGCTCTAGGATTACCCAGGATTTAGGAGGTGTCGGTTGCACCCTCCATCCTAGATATTACTCTTGTTCAGCACCAGTTTCCCCCCCACAGCTCGCTGTCTTTCTCACACAGCCCGTGGTTGCCAAATTCCTGTGTTTGGCTGGCTTGAGTCTGCTGACTGTTTGTGAAAATTCTCCTGGGGGGAATGTCCGGACTGAGGGAGAACCTTGTTTCCTGCTTCGTTTATGAGGTCCCAGCGAGTCCAAGGGCTTGTGTGGGGGCTGAACACAGGGACACATGGGACTCCTTGGTGTGTCCTCAAGGCAGTGGTCTTGGGTTGCCACGTGCACCTTACGTCCACCCGGCTTTGATTCACCTGTACGAAGGATGAGTATTTCATGGATCATTGTCCAGGCTTCAGAGGTTCTTGCCCACAGCTGCTTTTTTCTGACAAGATAGGCAGGTGGAGGGAATGGAGTGGTGCACAGATTAATGTGATTCTGGCCTTGCTACCGTCCTGCTCTGCTCTGTCCTTGTGCTTATCAGTCCCGGGTCTTCATGGGCATGCAATCGGATTTTCTTTTCCAGGCTGACAGACAAGGCAGTGAAGGACTATTCTGCCTACCGCTCTTCCCTTCTCTTTTGGGCCCTCGTTGATCTCATTTACAACATGTTTAAGGTAGGGAAGCCACTGGAAGCTCGGCTGGTTTCTGCAAGCGTGTGAAAGTTCTGTGCTCCTGGAGCTGAGCCTGCTCCGCGGCCGCTCACCGCGAACGAGCCACCTCCCGTGGAAGGGATCTGCACGCCGGCTTACAGCCTTCCGTGTGTGGTGTACAACTGTAGCCAAGGCCGCTCCTCTCACCCGGTCTCAGGCCTGCTGCAGGCCCACCTCCCTCCGAGGCCCCCCTTGTTGGCTCTTGTCCCCTCTGTCTGGGTTCCTGCATTGCCTCGTGTGAGTGTGACTCACGCCAGCCCGGCTCACAGGGACACTGCCCTCTGCCTTGAGAGAACCCTGGGGTGTGGGGGTGGTTCCTTTTATGGTCTGAGTGGGACCGCTCAGCTGAAGCATGGTGAGAGTGTGCCTTTCCTGGGGAAATGCCGATGTGACCTGTGCAGGAAGGAAGAGTGGTCTCTTGTAGCTTGGAGGTCACGTCACGTGGTGCATCATAAAGAGGCTGCCAGAGGAATGACACGAGACTCTGTTGTTCCTAGAAGCAAAACACATCCTCCAGGGAAACTTTAATGTGGGGGGAGGGAGGAGGGCTGCTTTTTGGCATTGACAAGCCTGACTGACTTGAGGCATTAAGTAATCCAGCCCCGGGCCTGTCTCCTGTTGGTTCTTGTAGAAGGTGCCTACCAGTAACACGGAGGGAGGCTGGTCCTGCTCTCTAGCGGAATACATCCGCCACAATGACATGCCCATCTATGAAGCTGCTGACAAAGCCCTGAAGACCTTCCAGGAGGAGTTCATGCCAGTGGAGACCTTCTCGGAGTTCCTCGATGCGGCTGGTCAGTGTCAGGGTTTTATCTCTCAAAGATCTTCTCCAGCGGAACCCATGTGATCTTAGTGGGGCCGGTCTTAGCTTTCATCTTCACAGCAGCAGACACATGAGCAAGGTCTGGGAGAGAGATGTAAACAGCAGGTCCCTGGTAGTAAGCACAGCAGCTGGGACATGCGGGGACTTCCTGCATCCCAGGCCCTGTGCTGCTCACATGTTTGAGGTGGGTACTCTGGTTACCCCTGCTTCACAGATGGGGTAACTGAGGCTGTGGAGATTAGGTGTTTCCTGTGGGGGCATACCTGAGAAATGGGTAGAGCCTCTTTTAAATTCCTGACTTTTTATGATAGTTCAGAGAATTCACGTGGAGCTGACCTGCCTTCTTTCTGCCTCTTGGGGACTGAGACTTTTTTTTTTTTTTTTTAGATTTTATTTATTTATTTATTAGAGAGCGAGCGAGAGAGAAACAGCATGAGAGAGGAGAGGGTCAGAGGGAGAAGCAGACTCCCCACTGAGCTGGGAGCCCGATGTGGGACTCGATCCCAGGATCCTGGGATCATGACCTGAGCTGAAGGCAGTCGCTTAACCAACTGAGCCACCCAGGCGCCTGGGGACTGAGACTTTTTATGTCACAGCTACCCTGGGGAAATGGGGAAGAGTTCAACTCTGATTCTAAAAATAAGTGGTAAATATGAAAACAGAGCAAAGAGCATCTTGGACACCCTTGGACAGTCTCTCATCCCACAGCTGGTGAGAAGGAAGTTCCTAGTTCTCTCCCGGCAACAGATGCTGTGTACAACAAATTGGTCATCCTCCTTGCAAACATGTTAGAGTTTGCTCACATCTCATCAGCAAGCCCCGCTGACAGCCCGGGAGGTGGTTGGGAAAATGCACGCAGGTTACAAACGTGAGGGCCCCGTCAGGCTGCGGGTGGCTGGTGCATCAGAGCCTGGTCGCTGCCGGCCTGCGGGGTGGGCGTGGGGCGGTGCCAGAGCCAAGGCCGAGCAGACGGGACCTGCCCCACTCCTGCTTTTTGTGAAGGGTGAAGAAGCCAGGAAAAATTCTCCTCACATCCTGCTGTCAAGAGTAAGCCTCCACAGGCATTTTCCCATCTCCTGTCCCCTGGGAACCCTACTCTCAGAGGTCTGGAGCCATGCTCCTTGGGAATTCCGCTTTCCTCCCAGCTCAGCGCCACCTGACGGAGTGTTCCCCACATGCGCTGGGACTTCCAGGTTGGCTGTGCTTTCAGGTGGCCTTGGTGGAAGCTGAGCAGGTCATGGGCCTGTGTTGGCTCTGCTCAGCTCAGTGTCTTAACTGTTAGCCTTGACGCCTCTCCCCAGGAATGGTCCCTGCCTAAGAGCAGGTGGCCCGTGTACGTATGTCCTCAGTGCCACGCTCTGCCTGTCACCAGGGCTCTGGGGGTGTCTGAATCTGGGCTGTGAGTGGGAACGGAAGAGTCTGAGTAAGAGAGGAAGAGGTGTCAGGGGAGGAAGGTGTCCATCTTGGTTCGGGGCTTCCCGGCCGCCCTGCAGCTGGTGGCAGCGCCCCCGGCCTGAAGCCGGGGAGAGCGGGAGCCTGACGGGCGGGGAGCCCCTGTGGCTTCACTCCGGGGTCCAGTTTTTACAACATGATTTTATTACTTTGTTTAAACTGGTAGAAAATTTCAGAGCATCAGACACACCCTACTGAAGTGCAAGGGCAAAAACACCTTCCAAAGCCAGCATGGGTGATGGGCGCAGCCTTCCCCCCACTGGCGCGGATGCTGGGGGAGGACTCAGAGCGGATGGCACCAGGCCTCGGGCTTAACCACTCACGGCTGTGAGGTGGGAGCGCCCTGCTTGGTGAGGGAGGGGCGGGGACCACAGTGGCCACTGAGCTCCTTCCGTGCACTGGCCTCATTTAATCCCCACAGTGATCGAACCAGGACATGTTCCTGTCCCCATTCGATAGTTGTGGAAGCAGAGTCCTGAGCTTTGACAGCTCACTCGACGCCCTGGGACTAGTGGTTGGAATGAAGTCCAGCTGAGCCCGGGGACCTAGTACCCTGCTCTCTTCCTTCCAGCCCTTGGGGCCATTGGTATTAGCTTTTCCTTGGCCCTGGCTCCTCCAAGAATAGGCTGAATGCCGTGGACTCCCCCTCAGGAGACCCCTCCACTTCGCACTCAGTGTCAGCAGACTGGAGGCCCCCCCTTGCGGTGGTCCATGGACCTGGGTTAGGACCTCTGCCCCAGGCGGCCGAAGGGTCGGCCTCTGCCATGTTAACGCCTTTAAACACACAGTAGCGCCCAGTTCTGGAATGCAGCTAAGTCCTCTGACAGAACGAGAGTGCTTGCTCGGTGACTGTCGCCCCAGGGGGCGGCCATGTCGGAGCTTGTCGGGGCATACCGTGTTCTCTGCGCAGATGGGGCAGCCGTGACTCTGGGGCTAGGGGCTGTGCATGCCCGTGCCTAAGGACCTCTGCCCGCCCCTGTTTTCCAGGCCTGTTGTCAGAAGTCACCGATCCCGAGAGCTTCCTGAAGGACCTGTTGAACTCAGTCCCCTGAACAGCACACGGAAGCTGCCGTTGGCAGAGACCGAAGCTAGCTTGCCTTCCATCCTCCGTGTTCTTCCCTCCTGTGCATTGACTCCCTCCACACGGGACGCTGCGGCATCACTCTTCCCTCCCCCCTCATGTCTTCTTGGAGTGGCTTGGGGTTTTTAGGCTTCCTGTTTTATCTTGTGTGTGGTGCACTAGCTATGAAGTTGTCTGTAACCCAAGCCACAGAAGGACCTGTACATACCTAGGAGCCACGAGCTATCCTGGCCGACTCAACAGTGTGCACATCTTGAGAAATAAACGAATGACTGAGTACACATTGAAAGAGAAGGTGTTGCCTGCTGCTTAAACCCACCCTCGGTGCCCCTGGCCAGACGCTGTCCTTGGCCGTCCTTGGCCGCGCGGCCCTTTCTGGCGCGAGCACAGGAAGACTCACGTATCCGAGTCGCCGTTCTTGTCGGTACCAGATGGAGCCTGTCTGCTCTCGGCCGGCAAGCTGGGGCAACGCGTTTGAGGAGCTTGAGCTTTCCTAAAACAGACCGCTTGGCCTCTCTTAGTTTTTTGGCCTTAAGAGCTGGAACCCAGGGGCGCCTGGGTGGCTTAGATGGTTAAGCGTCTGCCTTCGGCTCAGGTCATGATCCTGGAGTCCCGCATCGGGCTCCCTGCTCGGCGGGGAGCCTGCTTCTCCCTCTCCCTCTGCCTCTCTCCCTGCTCATGCTCTCTCCCTCTCTCTCTCTCTTTCTCTCTGTATCTCTGTGTCTCAAATGAATAAAAAAAAAAAAATCTTTAAAAAAAAAAATTACTAAAAAAAAAAAGAGCTGGAACCCAGAGACTCGCAGAGCCGATGACTGCAGTCCCCGGCCAGTCCCCGGCTGGAGGCAGGCGCGACAGAGTGAGGGTGCCTGGCGTTCCTGCTCGCTGTGTGTCAGACAGCCTCTGGCGACTTTGCTCCAGGGTCACCGTGTTAGGAGAGGGCCCGGGGCCATCTGAGCCCCGGAATAGCGAGTAGCTGCCCTTTCCTGAGCCGCCCTCTGCCGGGCTCCAGAGAGCGAGAGAACGTGTGTGCATGTTCCTGTGTGTGCGTGCGCGCGCGCTTCCAGTCTTCCCAGCAGCCGTGCAGGAAAGGGCCTGGGATCAGGCGTCGCCGGCAGGTCTGTGCCCCGCACCACCGTGGCAGCTGCCTCTGGGGGCCTTGCGGGCCCCTTTCCCGTGCTCGTGGGCGGTGGCCCTGTGGCTAGCGAGGCAGCAAGACCCGCAAGGGCCTCTCCCCAGATTGTAGGGCAAGGCTGTGCCAGACATGGCCTCACGGGGAGGAGGAGCTTGCTTGTGGCCGTCTTTTGTTCCCTGCGCGCCGCTCTGCCAATTGCTCCTCCGAAAACGCCACCTCTTTCTCGATGCCCAGCTTGTGTGGCTCATTCCTTAGGCCGGACCGTCCGGGACGAGAGGTCCCTCTGGGCCCCTTTAGAAGACCTGCATGTCCAGGAGGCCTCGGTGTCCCTCCCTCAGAGCCCCTGACCAGATGGCCACAGGCAGGTGGAAGTGTCCTGCTTGGGCCTTGGCCAGAGAGACAAAGGCGATTGGTGGCAAGAGCCCAGCTGGTGCCCCGGCAGGCGAGAGCGTGTGTGCCCGAGTGCACGAGTGCACGTCAGTGTTGGGGCTGGGCGAGGGGCTTTCTGGGGCACCGACGGACTCTGGGGAGGGGCTCTCCCTCCTTTGCTCAGATGCCGGCTCGACCACCTCGCGTGTCTCCACAGCCTCACGCGTAAGATGGGACCGTTGGCAACTGCGGGGGTCCGTGGGCTTCTCTCTCTGTTGCCACGTAGTAAGGAAATGGCTGCTCTTACTAATGAATTCATTTTCAGTCTATGTGATTTTGCCTTTTTCTTTAGCAAAGCTCCGGGTCTCAGCTGAGGTCCAAGTGTGTCTAGTGGAGGAGGATGAAGGACCTTGGTCTCAGGGACACAGGCTTCTCACACTGACCGCCGCAAGCTCACGCCCACTCTCGCCCCTCGCCTCCCACTGGCCGGTGGTCTCTGAGGGCCCGTTCCAGGTACACGCTCGTGTGCAGGATTGCTGTTCCGTAACATCCCAGCAGGGAGAGACTGGAATGGCTTCATCGGGGACAGCAAAGCCAGGAGAGTGGGGAAGGGGCCTGTGTAGACAGTCGGGATGACCCCTGCTTACCAGGTGTCGGGCCTGCTGTTTCGGCATCGTTGGAGGCTGAGCCACCTTCAGTGACACCTCAGGGCATCGTGAGTGTTGACAGGGCGCTTGCAAAAGCTTATCCACAGCCTGTTCCTTTGGACTGCAGAGCTGGAGTTGCCAAAGCTCCTTGCAAGGTGTTGGTTTATTTTTCTCTGCCCTTCATGTTTGTATTTCTTGCAGAGGCCTCGGGGAATTCTGGCTCCAGCCCAAACGCCTCAGCCTCTTGCTTTCACCACCACAGCTTTCCCGGGGTCTGCCTGGGCCACTTCGCGGTGACTGCCGCGGTCCCAGATGGGCTGGTGGCGTGGGGCCTGCACAGGCCTGCGACAGTCCCTGGGTGGCGCCTTCAGCAGAGCTCAGGCGGGAGCGTAAGCTGGTCCAGGGGGAGCACTCTGCCTCCCTGAGCCCTTGTCTCCTGACCCTAGTGTCGAGGGATCCCAGGCAGAAAGCCACTTTGTCCCTTCCTGCCCCGAGCTGTCTTCTGGGCTTCTTGCTTCTTGGGCCCCGTCTTCCTCAGCAGGCAACCCTGGTCGGGGGATTCAGACGGTTCCGGACTGGCAGTGCGGGGTCATGGCTGTGGTGGTCAGCCCCTCATCTGTGTTCAGCAACAAAGCTGGAGAAGGGAAGTCAGCATGTCCCTCCTGAAATGGCTAAATTAGCTCTGACGTCCTCAGTCTGTCGCGTCTCTCCTGGCGGCGGGCTTTCCGAGTTCAGTTCTCTGTTACGGGCTATGTGGGAGGCTGGGTGGCCCCTTCTTCCCGAGGCCCCCTCCTCTGCCCCCAGTTATGTTTGCTGAGAACCAGGGCCTGGGCCAGGTCCTTTGCACGTAGTTCCCACATGGACCCTGCAGGTTACGTGTTAACCCACCTTGCACTTGAGGTGACAGCCCCCAGAGGGAGTGTCTTGCCTGCCGGGGGTGGGACTCCAGAGATGTCCCCACTCCCTTACTTAACTTGTGCACCCGAGTCTTTATGTCCACTTGGCACCAGGCATGTGCTGAGGGCGTGACGGTGTGTCGTCTCTGTCCTCATAGAGCCCAGGTTCCCGTGAGGGGTGCTAGGTAGGAGCGGGTGAAGGTGAGCGGGCGGGTGGCGGTGCGGGGCTGTGGCCACCACGCAGGGCGATCATGGGGTGACTGGGTCAGCGTGCTCCCCCCTCTAGCCCACCCACGCCATGTCCTCACGCCCGCTTGTAACGGGCCAACCCCAGCAGGGCACTGGGTCTGTCTGGCTCCCGGAAGTCCCTGCTGCGTTGGCCTGGCGGGCCCTTTTGGGGACCGCGGACCAGCCTGATAGGGAGATTCACTCTGCTTTCTGGTTTCAAAATACAGTGTTCTCTGTCACCCCCCGGCCACCTGTCACCACAGCTGCACCCTTGACTCAGGAGCCTCCTCACAGCTCTCCCTGCTTCCCCTCCGCCCCGTGCAGTCCGCTTAGTTCAGGCCGACACTGCCTTACTCAGACTCCGGTTCGCCCGTTCACCTCTACGGCGGAGCCTCGGCTCCGCCCCCCAGCCCGCCCTCCTGCCGCCCCCCTGCTGCCACTCCACACCCTTGCCCCTGCTGTGCGCTTGCTGTCCCTCACCATCCCAGCGGCACCGAGAGGACGGCAGATGGGGGACAAGGCCAGGACCGACTCCTCCAGCTTCTCTAGGCCACTTCGACCCTCTTTCTGCCTCAAGACTGGTCTGTCAAGGCTCAGATGCAGCGGAGGGAGCAGGGCGGCCTCTGGACAAGAAAGAGGATGAAGACCAGCCTTGCCCAAGTGCCCGTGAGAACCGGGTGCTTCGCCTGTAGCGCCTCCGTCGAGCCTTCGCCAAAGAGAGCGTTGCTGGCGTGGAGAGAGCTGGGAGTGCTAATGCTGGGGGGCGGCTCTGAGGAGGATGAGGGTGTAGAGGGAGGCTCGGGGGGTGGGACCTGGCTTGCTCCCTCCTGTCCCCGAGGCCGGGGGGATACCCTCAGGGGTCTTTGCCGGCACGGGCAGCTAGAAAGAGAGCCTTTCCCAAGACCGAAGCAATCTGTCACGCGACCTCGGTGGTCGTCGTGCTGTTCTCCTCTCTCCGTCCGTTGTGGGCCGTGTGGTGTCGTGGGGAAGCGCCGGGGCTCGGAGAGGGCCCAGCTCTGCTGTGCGCCGGGTAGCGTCCTCTCAGAGAGTGAGCGGCAAGTCAAGTGGTGCCGTGGAAGGTCCTAGAACTGAGCACGGCCCAGGCACAGGTCCCCTTAGCTGATCGTCAGGGGATCGCAGACGGCCGAGATCAGGGGCCCTTGGGAGGCTGCCTGCCTCGTGTCTCGGCTGCCAGGGCGGATGCTGAGCCCGGACACGCATGCACGCGTGGGCACATGCCCACCAGCCCCACAGCTGCACCAGAGCCCGTTGCTTTGGTGACTCCTGTTTGCTTCTGCTGCTCTGCAGTCCCTGCCCCGGGCGCTGCTCCCTTTCCTGCCTGGCCTTGTCTGTTGCCGGATCTTGGAGCCTCATGGGCTGCCAGCTCGCCCACTTTGGCCTCCCTGAAGCCTGGAGCGGCTGGGCAAGGCCTGGCCAGGTGCGGGGCACAGGGGCGCAGCAGTGAGGGGAGGCGCCTGCCCTCTGCATTGCCTCCCCACCCCGAGGACCCCTGGGCTGTGCCCGGCCGCCGTCGGTCAGGGCTGGCATCCTCCTACCTCTCACCTGTGCCCCTTTGCCAGCTTCGGGGGCACAGAGTGGAAGAGGAGCTTGCCTGAGGCCCACATCCCAGGCCAACAGGGTGTGGGGCATTTAGGCTCAGGGACGACTCCTGGCCTGTCACCCCGAGTGCCTGAAGAATGGTTTCCACATATTGGCTGACAACAAGAAAGAGGCACTGGTGATGGGCTCGGAGGAGGGGGCGTTCTCTTTGGGAAGAGAAAGTGGCCAGTGGGGTGCAGAGCCCATGAATTTCAGCATCTGGAACGGGCCCCATGCTTCCGCCTGAGGTCAGGTAGGGGGTTGGCCTGGCCCCTCGGGAGCCGGAGAGATGAGTGCCTGGGACATACCAAGCAAGAAAACAGCTGGGCGAGGCCAGGGGGCTGGGACAGGACCAAAGTTAGCCTGGGGTGACCAGCTCACAGAGCAATCAGCCAGTGGGCCCAGAACTCCCATCCCAGG